ACTGATTTATCAGTTTGAATTATTGCTTCTGGAACCTCTCTTAGTGCCTAGAAAGGTGTTAACCTGTACTGGCCTGGCTAAGAGCTCTGTGAAGTTGATGTTGGATCTCAAGAAATCTACTGTGAATCAGTTTGTCCTTGCTTTCTCTTCTTCCTTAAACAAAACAAGGATATAAGGATATTGTTATTGACTAGTGAAGTCCTTTCCTTGTTATCAAGAGTCAAGTGTATATTGTAAAGGGGAAGGAGTTGTTGCTATTGTTATCTTTCCTTGGGATTGTTTTTTGTGAAAAGAGTTTTTTCTTTAGAAAATTATTATAAAAGAAAATTTTCTGAAATTTTGAGGATCAGCGGAAAGAACTTTTTTTTTTTTTGTTATCATTTTGAGAAAAATAATATTGTTTTAAAATCTAACATAAAGTAATTAAGTATGAAGATAAGTTAGTCACATTATAAAAGAGCTTTTAAGCTATTATAGATCTTGTTTTAATTTTTCAATAAAGACTAACTATTATGATATTGTATATTGTAATTATAGATTAAAAAAATTTATTATTTTTTTAAATTTTTAGTTAAGCCAGTTATATATGCTCTATTAAAGATTTATATGTATTATATTTGAATTGTTTTACTAAAGTTAAATCTTTCTTTATTTAATTCATTTGATTCTATTTATAATTTTTTAAATCTTTAAAAGCAATTTTGAATATAATTTATTACTTTATTATTGGTTCAGATAAAAATTCTTCTAATTATTAGCTTTATTACTTATTGGTTATTACTATAGATAAAATTAATATTTTATTGTTTAGTATTATATTTAATTTATTAATTAATTAATTTTTTTATTTGTTATATAATTAATATTTTTTTTTAAAACCATTTGTTAGGCTAGGTACTGCATGTATCTTTATTAAATATACAATTAAAAATGGGTTTCTAAAGGAGAAGACAAGGACAAAAGTCAAATGTCACTCACTAGGAAACATTAAAATTTTTAAATTAATAATTATAAAAAAACCATACATAATTGTTAACTATTATTCAAATCATTGATTTATGGCATTTTTTGATCTTTGTTTCTATTAAAATGAAGAGGCATAAATTTTATTCCTAAAAAAGAGACATAAATAATCTGTAAAATTTTATATGCTAAATACTTAAGGACCTATCATTATATACAGTATGTATACTTTATATTGGAAAATGTATTATTAAAGTTAAGTCTCTATCTAATTTACTTATCTCTATTTTAAGAATTATTAAAACTTCAAGTATAGCTTCAAAAGTGATTCATCAATTTATTAATAGTTAATAGTTCAGGTAAAGATCTTTTTAATTATCAATTTCATTGTTTGCAAATCCCTATTGAAGATATAAAATTAATATTTATTTAAAAGAAACAATAAGATTATATACTGTATATTATTTTTATATATATTTTATTATATTTAATTATATTAAAAAAAATAGAATTAAAAATTATTATTCTTTTAAATTAATTTATTATTATTGAAATAATAATAATAATAATTAGAATAAAAGTATATATTATTTATTTTTATTTGTAATAAGTTAATAATTTTTAATTAATTATAACTTTTTTATTGATTCTTTAATTATATACAAAAAAATATTTACAAGAAGTTTTTTATATTTATATACTAATATGTTTTTACTACTTTCTTTAAATTAACTTGAAAAAAATTTAAGAATTATTTTTACTTATTTCTTCCTTTTATTGATACTTCTCTTTATATAAAAGCTTAATTTTTAGTAATTAAAAAGTTAAGAAATATCATTTTGCCAATGGTAAAAAAATTATAAAAAAAAAAAAACAAATATATTATTATTTTATATTGTAAAGAAATATTATAAAATGATTTTTAATAAAAGAAATAAATAAACTTTTATTGATTACATCATATATCTAAATATATTTTTTTAGTATTCATAAGAATCTAAAATCCATTATAAATTACCTATATCAAGTACAAGTAAATATAGGATATAAAATCTATTATATTAGTAATTGCATAAAAAGAATAAAGTTGAAATATAATATATTAGATAGATGACAAAGATTCATTCCTTTTTTTCAATTTGATAAATATTATTTTTTTAAAAAGGTTTTATATGTCTATCCTCTTATTATAAATAGATATTCTATTCAGTTAATTATTAATCTCTTTGTAATAAGATTAATATGCACTTTTTTTTTTAAAAAAAAAAATTTTTTTATTTTAATACAAATAGAATTAAAGTTTCATATGAGAAATTTTCAATATTGGTGGTACTAGATACTTTAGATGAATTTTTGATATATTAATTCTTTTTTTTTTGAGAATAGTGATAAATCATACAATAGATTCAGACTCTAAAGAATATTATAATATAAACAGGCTTGGGTTTTTTCTTTCTAGTTTTAGCTTTGCCATAGTAAAGAGAAGTATTTATATTATAGTAAATAGTTAATTATACAGTTATCCTATTTTGATTGGATAAAATACAAATAATTTGCTCTTTGTACCATTTGATGATTTGTAAATCTTTAGATAATATGAATAATTATTCATCCCAGTTGTTTCTAGATATTATCTTTATTATAATAAAGTGCTTGTCATGGTACAAGAATGAACTAGCATTTAATAATAATGATGATGATGATTTTTTTTTAATTTATTAAAATTAATATTTGTTTTTTTTTTATGATATCGGTTTTATTAATATATAAGATGTTGATAATACTTGGATAACAAACAATAAATATTAATTAAAATTTGATTTTTTAATTTTAAAAGGTTGTTTTATATTACCAGTATTTAAAAACATACATAATATAGTAGATACAGTATATTGATAATGGATAGTAATGCTTATTTTTATAGAATTACATATAGCGATAATTGAAACTAAATATGATAAGAGTCTAATAAAATATCTCGATCAGTTATTGTTAAGAATAAAAATATAAAAAAAAAATAATAATAATGAAAAAATAAGAGAAAGATGATTAATAGACAATACATGCATATGCTAAATTTTATTATAATTTTTTTGGTCATACATTAATTAAAAGACCTATATTGAAATCAATGAATGAATTGTGCACTCTCGGATCAGCTCATCTAATTTGTGAAGCCTATGCTCTCAATCCTAAAAATATCCAAAAGACTGAAAACAAAAAGAATGATATTGGCATTTATGATTCGCACGTTTAGGCTAATAAATATAATACTTGAAATTTAAATTGGTTGGTTTTCGGTGCAGGTTTTATTTTCTTTTTATCAATTAAAGTTTTCTGTCAATAATAAGGACGCGCTAATTACGAAACAGGATAAAACGGTCAAACTTCGATTAGTAACGTCGGGATTAGACATCGTCCTAATATATTTTTTTATTTGTAATATCTTGACTGCCACCGATGTTCGAACTTTTAAGACGATCAGGATGTCAAACACAAATTACTTACATGAGAATTTTTTACGATGAACGATTAGGTGTCAGGCATTTTTGAAACATCAAGGCTGTCAATCAAGGAGGAGGTGTGCCGACAAGTCGTTTTGCGTCACCTTGTTGATTACCAATGATCGTATTTGATCATCATATAAATAATGTGGGAAATTTTAAAATTTCGTATCGCGAAAATTTAGTTGACAGAAAAAAATGGGATCACCAACACATGTATTAGACGACTATTATTTAACGATAACAGCGTTAATAACAATTGGATATCAACTGATATTTTTTACCATCGCTTGGTCTTTTCAAATTGATTCCGGTAACCTTGATCTCTTATATATTGATGACTATTTTGTTTCAGCTAACAATAGTTTTTAACCTTGACTGCAATTTTATTCTTTGTCGACGACAACAACCAATAGTGACGGATTTTGGAGGTTAAATAAAATTGTTGTCAGCCTCTTAATTCACATGCGCTAGCTTATTTGACCAATTTCTTTAATAATCAGGCGGATCGAATGTAGCTATTATCGCTATTGTGACCTTACTTTTCGGAGAAGTAAATTTTTTATTCTCGTTGACTTTAGGCAACCTGCCTGTTGCCAACATAAATTAAAGACATCGTTGATATTTATGCTAGACATTTTATGAACGGCAAATTATTGCAACGATATTTCAAACATTATGGGGTATCAGATTAGGGTGTAAGTTCTCTTTTTTTTAATCATCTCGTAAGCTAAATCATTCACATTATCGCTGCTTATGTCTTAATCATTCTCTTTCATTGATTCCACAACTCGCTTCCTCTCTGAAAACACCGATCTTTCGTTCCATCGTACAGTATTCTGCATGTATCGAATGCTAAAATTTAAAAGGGATACCCGTTTTGAAAACATTCGATCAAAATTCACATCCTTACTCGGATTCTTTATAATGCAAATGATTTGGGTGTGGACCATCAGTTTACCTCTGATATTTTTGAATTCTCCTAGAATAAGCGATCCAAATATCGGCGGTCGGGATGTGCATTTTGGCAGTGCCACAGATATAGCGGGGGTAATATTATTTTTGTTGGGATGGGTGATCGAGAGTGTTGCGGATATTCAAAAGGTGATGATAGTTCAGCATTCTACCTATATGCCAAATATACATCCGATATTGATTTATTATACTGAAATTTTGTGAATCTTGAAATTCACAGTTTATATTTCGCAAAAATCGTACTTCTCCGAAACAATTTATGAAAACCGGATTATGGTCGTGGAGCAGGCATCCAAATTATTTCGGTGAAATCACGGTGATTACTTGACTACTTAACCCGAATATTTGACCTTTTTTTTTTTTTTTTTTTTTTTTTGACGTGAAAATATGTTTTCTAAACTTTACATTCGTTTCTTATTTTAGTTATGGTAAAAATTATTTCAACACCTCGTGTAGCCATTTTTTACGATCACGCTTAATCTTTCAATTTCATAGGATCGGTATGTTCTTATTGTGTTTGCAGCCAACGATATCGGGTGTTAACACCAATGCCGCATATGCATCTATTGCTTCTCCGATTTTCACCATTCGTACGTCTAGCAGTTTTTTTTGTTTTCGGCAAAGACTTTATTCATTTATGGTTTTTTAACGACCTTTTCTTTTTATTCCTCCTTAAAATTAACATTTCCATCAGTAATACTTCTTTTTCTCACTGGGATGACAATAAACGAACGTCCTTCGCATGAGAAGCAGTATAAAAACGGGAATTGGCCCGAATACTCAAAATATTTAGATCGCACCAGCTGTCTGATTCCATTTCCACCGTTTTTGTATGTCTTATTACCACAATTTATAAAGAGCACGCTATTCTTGGAGTTTCCGATTTATCGATATATTCCAGAAAAGGACGAAGATAATGACAATAGAAATTTGGGTACGAGTGGAAATTTAAATGGCAGCGAAGAGGTTTCTGAGGATTCTAATGAAGGTGGCGACGATTGAATCCTACTTCATTTAATGTCGATCGTCATTATGTAAATGATTGATTTTATTTCGATATGCTCAAGTTTTAATACCTAATTTGGATATATTAATATTCATCATTCTATCGCATTAATTTCTCACTTATTTAATTCGTTTCTTTTTCTGTTGTTAATCGTACAATGATATACAGTGGATCCCAATGTTGAGTGATCAAAGCTTTCGAATTAATACTATACTAATTAATCCTCCGATTCGGAATTCAATTTTATTTTTGAGGGAATTGTCTTAGGTTTCTATGATTAATGTTTCATCGCGCATGGCGAATTATTTGAGCATGACAAAAATTTGTTGAGATATTCCATGTGATTTACTTTTTTCTATTTGATTTTTTCTCTTTTATTGTGGTCCTTCCTTCAAGATTATGAGAAATTTCATTGTGCTGAAATCTGCGGATTACAAGATAATTAATTACATGTTATGTAATGAAACAATCAATTGTGATATAAATAAGAACGTCCTACCCACAACGATTTGGAGATCATAACTCAATGGAAAGAGAAGAGCTGATCAGACAGCTGACGGAAGACATCCCAAGGAACAGAAGGGAGACTTTGTCACGAGGATCTATGTCGGTCTCGGAAAGTTAACTTAGTCTATTTTTTGTGAACCGAATTTCGAAAGGAATCTCTGTGATCCAGTTTCCGACTGATGAAGATAAGCTCAAAACATTGGTTGACACATGCGTTCCTGCCACTTTTGGGCGCGGAAACGAGGATGTTTTCGACTTGGAATATCGGAATGCCTATTGTCTTGATCAACACTTTGCCTCTCATTTCCATCCAGCCTCCGATATCTTCAGTAAAATTAGCAATTGGATGGTCTCGCTTAATCACGATCTGCATGATGAGTTGTATAAATTAAACGTTAATGTCGCGAGTGGTTATTTTAAAGCCCACGTCGATACTCCCCGAGGAAATGATATGATCGGTTCCCTTGTGGTGTGTCTTCCTGCTGCTTTTGAAGGAGCGCAATTGATTGTCCGACATAAAGAAAGAAAATATGAATTCGATTGAGGAGTCGCGAGCAACCAAAGGAAAATATCCAATGGGCCGCTTTCTATTAAATTTGTGCACATGAAATTCTACTTGTTACTAGAGGTTATCGCATCACCTTGACTTATAATCTTTATTCTAAAAAGGTAAAATCTGATGAGGAAGCTACTGATGACCCGACATATTCGCCTCTTTATAACTCATTTAAGAAGCTTTAAATGATCTTAAATTTCTTTCTCGAAGTAGTGCTCTCGGCTTCTGTTTACAGCATGCATACCCACTTACTAAAGATCAGTTTGTGATTACATTTGATGTTCTCAAATGTGATGATATAGTTTTTGTATGAATTGGAGTCGAAGTTGAAATTAAAGCCGTCTATAAAGTTGACGATAATGATGATGATAAAATGTGGAGTGTATTATTATAAGGTTAAATTTCAAATTGTCAAAGACTGCTACGCAAGTGTACGTCCGGAAATAGTATGGTCAGGTGTAATCAATCGTCCAACGGAGTGGAAGAGGTAAAGCACATACAGTATGTTGCATATGGAAACAAAGCAACTTCTGAGTCAATATACAGTATGTCGCTGGTGTTTTTCTTGTCAACATCATGCCCTTGAATAATAGAAACAAAAACATTGTAAAGGAAGCCAAACCTACCTTGATGACTATTTTTTTCTTTCATTTCACGTTCTATGCTCGATTTTATCAATTTTACATTAAATTATAAAACATACATATTATTCTGCCTGTGCTACACCTTTTCAACATATATTGTATATGTCGTTAAATAATGCTAATACTTATTAAAGAAAGTTGTTTGTGTATTTTAACTACATACCCTTAATCCGAATCAATCTCCGTCAAATTAATGTTACATATTAAAGTCATGAAAAAATCTTGTCGCATTCGTCTCATTCTTAATTTTCAGTAAAAAACCAATGTAAATTTATTGAATACGTAATAAATGACAAATAAAACAATCCAATTATTTTTATTTTATTTTTATAAATAAGCGTTTATGTATGTAATGAAAATTACGTATAGTGATTATATTTGGAAATTCCAAAAAATACGTATTATAAAATAATTTGTGTACGTATATAAGTTTTCGTTTAAGGTATTTCATAAAAAATATTTTTTTATTAGGTAAAGAAGAATAATAGTAATAATAAAGTTACAAAATAAGATAACTCTTTTATTTGATGAAATAGCGATTTTAATTTTAAAAAAATGTAATTTATTTAAATACATTTGCTTCCAAAAGTTTGAGTACACTTACCATGTTTTCACCAATTTTTTTATTTTTTATTATGTAATCAAGAATTACAAATTTTATATAATTGATTACTTCCAAAAGTTTGCTATGTTTTTATTATATATTTTAATTTTGAAAAATTTTAAATCATTGACTATATAGTCACAAATTATATACAGTATATTATGTCTTAATACTTATTCTATTTCTTATATTTTTTAAAAAAATATTTTTATTGATATATTTTAAAGTTTTAATATTGTTATATATCTTTATTTTTCTATTAATTATCATATGATTTACAATAACAGCCAATCAAAATCCTCTAAAAGTAAAAATTTTATAAAGAATAAAAATTTTTAACAATAATAAAATCTTAAAAATTACATATAAAAATTTTTGAAAAAAATATAATAAATAAAAATAATATTAAGATCTAATATTTATGAATTTTATAGTTTTTAATTGTATAATTAAGGATTTAAAAATTAATAAAGTTGAATTTTATAACAAAAACATAATAAGTAAACTCAAACTTTTGGAAACAACTGTATATTATGTCTATTTATTTATTTATTTATTTATTTTTATTGTTTAATACTTTTTTATTTTATATTTTTTTTTTACTAATAAATAACTTTTTTTTCTTTAAAGTTTTTTTTTTTTGATATTTTTTATTTGTTTTTTATTAAATTATATTTTACCTTTTTCTAATTTATTAAGTTTTTTTACTTCAGTTAAATTAATAAACTTTATTTTTTTACAAAAATATAATCTCCCCAAAAAACTTTGCAAAAAAACTACAAGGAATTATTGAACAAACTCATGACTAGACATGTCACATCTCTTTGAATCATTTTAATTAAAACAAATAGTTCATCATTTTGTATTTCAAGAATACTCAAGATCTAGATACAATGAGAAGGATCACATTTTGACTAGAAGACTCAAAACTAGTCTGGATAGCTAAAATAACAAAATTTTGCTTCAGTTATGGTATCCAAGAGTATGACTTTAGTACCTGTACTATTGAAAAAAAAATATTATGCAAAAAAATAAAACAAACAGGCTCAATCAACCCAGACTCTTATCTCTGTGACAAAGAAAACCTCCACTGGTAAGGTAAAATAAGTGGTCTAATATGAAAAATACAGCTAGCATAAGATGAATCTATATCAATATCACAAGAGAATTATTAACCAGATAATACAAACAGAAGCAATACCAAAGACTTTTAAATAGCTTCAAGCAAACATAAATATGATCAAACATCAGGTTCATATGCTAAATAGAAGGATAATAGCAATCGAAGCAGACTTTTTTATTAAAGTTAAAAAATAAGGTATAGTAGACTTCCTCTCCAAATACAATTCACTCTCAACAAGTTCACACTTAAAAACTCCATTATCAAAAGATATGAAGAATAGATATCAATAAGAAATTTTAAATAGGAGAATCAGTCAAATGAAATTCAGGATAGATTCTATTATAAAAAAAATAATGAACTGCTTAGACTTACTTATTGAGATATCAAGTATTATAAAATTAACTCTCCAGTTTCTTTAAAACAACTATAATTAATAGCCACATAAAGAATAGCACTTGTAATAGATGAGAAATGAAGGAAAGTAAATCAAAAGAAATACAAGCATTATAGAAAATAGAAATAATTAATATTAGAGAAATCAATATAGAAACAGATTAGCTACCAATATTAAAATACTGTCAAGAAACTCAAATAGATATCTTAGAAATAACAGAAACTTGGCTTCCAGAAAATCAAAAATAGAGAGATATAGAGGACAAATATTAAATATAGACAACAAATCAATATAACAAATATATAGAGCAGGAGTAGCATAATAATAAAAAAGAAGTGATTAATATATGTATTTAATATAGAGAAATATAAAAATCATAATCTGCTAATAAATATGACCTTTAATAAAGAATTAACTATAGAATCTTAATACTATACAATCTAATAAAGAAATTTAAAAAACAAGATAGTATAAAATTATAGTAAAAAATCAAAACAAAAATAATTGAGGCAAAGAAAAGAAACATGTTCATTATAGTCATGGGAAATCTCAATAAGATGGCAGATAAGCACCTATATTATATAATAAAAAAGAGCAAAATAAGCAAACTTGACACATAATAAACTCATTAATAGCATTCGACCTTATAGATATATATATTTTCATTCACATATTCTTAAAAAATTACATATATAGTAGACCAAAATCAGAGTATGGGTATAGAATATATTATATCTAAACTTCTACTTTCAAATATCATCAGCACAAACCACATAGCAATAGAAATAGTAATAAAAAATAATCACAAGATGGTAATGCTATAGCTTAGTATACTATATACAATATGGTCTAAATTAGCAAATAGAAAAAACAATAGGCAAAGTTGAATTGACTATGACAATTCCAGCTCTAAACAATGGATCAAATTCTCAAGAAAAATAAATAAGAGTACAAGGAAAATCTTGAGAACAAACTTAAAGACTGTAGAAGACTATAACATAAATTCAAAGATGTAATAGTAGCAATAGTAAGGACAACACTCAAGAAGAAAAAGTAAAATAATAACATTAGAACTATTTACAAATCAAAATACAAGTAGTTCTTATGAAAGCAGCTCAAGTTGAACAAAATATATAGAAAATACCAGACATAGCTCATAAAATCAGGC